TAAAATCCAACGGATTGTACCCGCAAACCTAACGCAAATTTGATTGTCAAACACTAAAGTTAAAAGTCAACCTAGAACCTAACCCAAAACCAACCCCAAAATCAGGTCCAATCCCCAAAGTAAGAAACAAAATCCCTACCCAGAACCTAACCCAACAACCAATTGCAGGGGTGCATTAAGCTATTCCCATGTTTAAAAATTGTGAATAAGTACAAAAGAAATGAATATGACAATTTGCCTCTTCTTTCTACGCCGAACGCCCTCCTCTCCATCTCCGACCTCTGATTCGTTAAAGTCTCTCATCGTTTCTTGATCTACTCGCTTTCTTTGTCTCCTGGTATTCCTAGGGGAAGCAAGAACTGAAGAGGCATTTCGGGTCCTGCGTCTCCGGCGAGCGCCGGCGGGCTCGGCGACGTGGTCAACAGTTTCAAGATTCTCCGGTAAACGTGACTTCGTTCTCCGATTTGGGGAAGGGGAGATGAGAAAGAGTTCTTGGTTTGGGAGTGAAGGGGAAATTTCAGCAGCCACATTGATTCGACGAATTTTGGAGCGCCTTGAAGACGATCTTGTTCGGTTTCTGGGTTCCGGCGGCGGAGGAGTGGAGTCCATGAACTTGGTTTTTTCCGGCGAGCTGATGTTTGAAAATGCGGAGAATATGTGGAGGTGGTACAAAGAGATACGTTGGAATATGTTTGAATTGACGGGTTTTGTACGGTTTTTGACTTTTTGTGACTCCATGTTAGACCCGATCAAATTGTGGGTCGGGTTAGGCCTACCATCATAGCAATTAGCAAGTAGCAACCCAACAAATAAAATCCAAACCCATACAGTTTTTTTCTTTTTTTCACTCATTTTTGTACACTCACCGTTCTAAAATATTTCACATATTTTTTCCAACAAATACGAGATATTTTGTTTATACGTTTTTATTGATTATTTGATAAAATAAAGTATTCTTGAAATCTCTTATTTCTAAGAGCTTTTCATGTACTTTTTAAATATGTAAATTTTATTTTTTATGTCTATATCGACATTTCAAAAAAATGAATTCAAAAAATTTGATGTTTTGCCTCGTTTTTTAAAATGTGGTAAACATTTAGGAATTGATAGAATATTGAACATCTTTTTTAATAACTAACTTAATATTCGTATAGCCAAATTAGGTAAATTAATTTGGAACAATTAGATGGTGTTTGGGAGTGATTAAAGTGCACAAAAGCTGAAAGCAAAAGTATTTGATAACTGCTTCTCCAAAACGGTGTTATATATGTAAAATAGTGGTGGAAAAAAGTAGAAACTAACATGCCAAATAGAGTAAATAAAGGCATAAATCAATTGACTACTACCTCCGTCCCAGAGTATTTGTCCACTTTCATTTTTACACATCATCCAATACACTTCTTTAATCCATTTTATCTTGTAATTTGTAAATTAAAAAATTATAGAAATTATATATTAATAATCTATATGTTAAGACAAATTAAACAAGATCACACATGACTATATTTAGGCTTAAACATTGAGAGAATTTGATGAGTCAAAGTGCTTAGATGAACAGTTCCAAAAGTCAAAACTGGACGAATACTCCGGGACGGAGGGAGTATTAAAGAGTACATAGATATGTATGATGTATTTGTTCACATTAAGTTGCTACAATAAAATTTGGAAAATTTTAATTAGAAATGAAAAAAACTTACATATGATAACTACTACAAAAATGATTTAATTACATTTATATTACGAAGTAAAAAAACTTTAGAAAAAATATTTTATTTTACTAATAGTCAATTTTTAACTCGCGTCAATCAACAATTTAATTCTCTAATTGACTTTACATGTATATTTAGGACATAAAAATTGCTTCAATTTTCCCTTTTTGCCCTTAGAGCACTTACAATGGGGATATTTTCCCCCGCCTCAACTCTTGTCACAACAGGAGTCTACTAACTTTTCACCCTGCTCCAAGATTTTATAATACTATCATCTTGAAAATCAATCTCTTTATTTATTACATTATTTATTATTTTTAATTGCAATTTTTTTAAAAAAAATACATACAATTAAAAAAATGCTAAGATTGACATTCTTTATTAAAATCAACATTGATATAAAAGACGAAGTACACAAAATAAAAATTTAAAAAACAAACAAAAAAAGATTGAAATTATAGACGAAATTCTTTTTTTAAAAATATTGGTTTGAGAGATGAAGAAAAATTAAGAATATACGTAAATTGAGAGAGATGAGAGAGGACGGATTGAAGTGGAAGATGTGTTGAATTGATAAGGTTGAATAAAAAAGGGAAACCCGGCGCGGCTGAGCGCTGTAGTGGGCAGCCGCCATGAAAAACCACCGAATCTTTAGCCGGGCTCTACGCCACTCTTCGAGCGTGCTCTGGGGCTTAATTTGCGACGGGAAGGCTACAATGGGCCGCGGTGCTTATTTTGCGGTGGTGGAGGGCCACAGTGCAGCACGGGGAAGCGTACGGTGGGGCCGCTTCCTCTCCTCAGTGTAAATGTCTTTAAGTATCTAGAGAAAGTAAATAAAGTAAAAAATTATAGATGAATATTGGAGATATAATAATTAAAAATAGATAATGAGAAGTAAGATAAAGTGTATCCAAAACTGGGTGATGCCTAGCTAGTATAGTCTGTTTAGAATAAAAAATTTGCTAAAAGAAAAAAGAAAAGTAGGAAAATATTATTTTCTAACATACTGATGTACCCCTAGATGGCTCCACTAAAATCCCCAACTCTCCCAACATATCCAAAAGTTTTATTTCTTTTCTTTTATCAAAATAAAGTCTTTTTCCATCAAGATGATAAGAAAATAAAAGCCAAAACCTTTGTTTCTTGTTTTTGTCTTTTCAAAAACCTTTTACCCAAATAATGCCTTGCCTTCTTTTCTTCTAATCCTGATTCGGAACCCCTAAATAATCGATTATCCTTAATTGATAATCGACTATTGTAGTCTGCAGATTCTTCTCCAAAATACAAAACTTCTCATAATCGATTTTGATTAATTTGATAATCGATTATCATCATCCTCAAAAGTATCCAATTCCGAATAAGGGTCCGTTCCGTAGGACTTATTTTTTTCTACTTATTACTTATTCTTATTAAAATCAGATCAGATCAGACCTAATCAGATCAGATCAGATCCAATCAGATCAGATCAGACTCAATCAGATCAGATCAGACTCAATCAGATCAGATCAGATCCAGTCAGATCAGACCAGATCAGATCAGATCCAATCAGATCAGACCAGATCCAATCAGATCAGACCAGATCCAATCAGATCAGATCCAAACAGATCAGATCAGACCAGATCAAATCCAATAACATCAAATCAAGAAAAAATATAAAAGATAATATTTATATTATTCAAGGATTAAATAATAATTACTACTATTTGATTAAATCACATTACTTTATTTAAAACTACACACACCTAAATCTTAATTAATATTATAATCTTAATTATTATTATTATTATTATTATTATTATTATTATTATTATATTTCAACTAGAAATCATTATTTTATATAATTGTTTAGCTTGTAGGATAGAAATCATGCATGGAAGCAATGTTAAAGCTTAAAAAGTTTTATTTTTCATACTTTAAAAAGAATTATTTTAAAATACTTGTTTATAAAATAATTATACAAAACTTAGTTTTGAAAACTATGAATATTTTATACTTAAAAAGACTTACTTTTAAACTTTAAGATGGTATAATATACTCAAGGGTGGTTTATGACAAAATTGATAGAGGTGAAAGAGATATTAGTGTTTAAAATTTTATATGATCTTTAATTTGTAACATGAAATATATTATTATGTAATATATATATAGAATGTGATAATTTTGTAGAATAGAATCAATATTTTCTAATATTTGTTTATTTTAATACCGATTATTTAGTTTTCACAAAAATTAAAAAAGTTGTGATATTAAAAAGATGTTTAATATTTTTAAAAAAAGTTTAAACATATTAATGATTAGCTGATTTTCTTATTTTACTTTTTTTATGTATATGTGAATTGTAATACTTTTAAAGTATTAAATTTTGTAATAATTTTAAGTTTAATTTAAATCAAATTTAAATTCATTTACACCAGATCTAATTAGAGAAAATCAGATCTAATCAGATCAGATCAGATCCAATTAGATCAGATCAGATTCAATCAGATCAGATCAGACCCAATCAGATCAGATCAGACCCAATCAGATCAGATCAGATCCAATCAGATCAGATCAGATCCAATCAGATCAGATCAAATCCAATCAGATCAGATCAGATCTAATCAGATCAGATGAGATCCAATCAGATCAGATCAGGCCCAATCAGATCAGATCAGATCAGAACTTCAAAAATTCAGATTAGATTCAATCAGATCAGGCGTACGGAACAGAGCCTAAGTCCTTGATAATCGATTGTCATTGAATGTCAATCGACTATCTAGTCCCTCAGAACATTTCCGGATTGAAACCAAATCCTGTGAATCGATTATCCAGAGATGCTAATCGATTATTACATCTCCGAACTTTGAAGTCCTGAAGTTGTTCAATTCCTGTTTGCATTTCCTAAGCTTGGGTACAAGGTTGAAATTATTCCCTGAATTTCAACAAAGAATAAAGCCTTTTCTTTCATAAAACAAAAGCATAATCACTTTTGAAACAAAGGAACAAAATCAGAAACAAAGTCATTGAATGAATAGTGCTCACAAAAGTCTAAAGCTTGATTCCCCTTTGTTTTCTCCCCTATATGCACGAAATTCTCCATCAATAAACCCAAGGAAGATCAGCCCAAAATCAGGAGAAGCATCTTGGAAAATCAGCTCACATGGAAGGACATTAATCTTTGAATTTTAGGAAAGAAGTAGGAAGTTTCCTTTATTGTATTTTTCCTTATATGTTTATGTATAAATACTTCAGCCATGAGGCCATTGTAACACAACCAGATTATTGAATTAAAAGCCTTTGTTTTACTCTTTGAGTAATTCTTTAAAATAGTGTGATGCTATTTTAACCAAATTTCCTAATGAAATATCTCTAAAGTTGGCTACTTTTGAGTGTGTGTTAGGAATCTAATTTTATACATTAATAGTGATTATTAATGTGTAAAAGAAGATAAAATCCCCAAGTTAAGATAAGAGTGTGTCATATCTCTTAACACCAACTTGGTTTATCCCTTCACTTTTCTGCCCATTTCATTCCTCACCATTTCTTTTTCCTAAACTTATTCTTTTCTCTCATTAAAAACACCAAAAAGAACTCTTTCTCACACTCCATACTTCACCCCTTCAATTCCATCATCCATTTCCTTCTGCAAATCTGCCACAAATTAGCTACTCGATAAGACCCCGGGTCTCGGGTACAAGATCTGGTATCAGAGCTCAATTTCGACGACTTTCTCATGTCTCGACGATTACCGGAGGACCAGCTTCACCCACGTTGCACAAAAGCAAGACTGCTGAATTGCTCCTGAAAATGTCAGCCCCAAAGCAGTGATCACGGAGGAAGGTGCAAAAGTTATTTCAACGTGAAACTTTCCAGTCTGAAAGTTTAACCTTTTATATACGTCTAACCGCTGATTTCACACAATTCGGAGTTGTGGTTAGCGAGATACGCCCTTCCAAAGTTGACAATGCAGTCCTGCCCAAATGCTGTCTAGCTTGCTTCTTTTGTTTCCAACGAGGTAGCACACATAAATCAATGACTCTGAATTTCTGATATATCTTTAAGGACTTCAATATCTAACTTTGAGAGTTGGAATCACTAAATTCCAATCTCTGGTTGTTGAGATATGGATATCCAAAGATACTTCAAAAATCTTGAGATTATTTATGCAAATGAGGTGATCCTTCAAGGACTTATTAAACGGTGCTATATGTGCTGTGGCTATGGCCATCACTATTGGAGGTGCACAAATAAAGAAGCCATTCCTTATGAAGAGCATGTAAGGATCGTAGCAGCATATGAGAATCAACATGACGGCAAATACGAAGATGTCTTTGATAACCATGTCAAAGATGAAGATGATGTCTTCGTAGAAGAACCAACTTCTAAGGCGCAAGAAGATTCAATCCTTATTGATTCTCTCTTAAGTTGTGAAAGCTTCTTTGAACAGGATGTCGTGGAGGATGCCACACTAGGTGATATATGTTTTAAGGAAGTTGTTTCCTCAGAATATTATCATCTAATTAGTGACGAAGAATCTCATCCAATCATTGAAGATTATGTGAAGGAGGTTCTACGAACAGTGATTACATTTTTCCGGACAGTACAAAAAGAGGTGCCAACTTATTTCAGAAGGAACCTCATTATTGGTGGTTCATTGAATTTCCCATTTGATCCAGGAATTCTTTTATGAAACCCCAATCAGTCACGGTGGTGCGAAAGTTTGAGGACAAACTTTCTTCGAACAAGGGGAGTATGATGTACCCCTGGATGGCTCCACTAAAATCCCCAACTCTCCCAACATATCCAAAAGTTTTATTTCTTTTCTTTTATCAAAATAAAGTCTTTTCCATCAAGATGATAAGAAAATAAAAGCCAAAACCTTTGTTTCTTGTTTTTGTCTTTTCAAAAACCTTTTACCCAAATAATGTCTTCCCTTCTTTTCTTCTAATCCTGATTCGGAACCCCTAAATAATCGATTATCCTTAATTGATAATCGACTATTGTAGTCTGCATATTCTTCTCCAAAATACAAAACTTCTCATAATCGATTTTCATTAATTTGATAATCGATTATCATCATCCTCAGAAAGTATCCAGTTCCGAATAAGTCCTTGATAATCGATTGTCATTGAATGTCAATCGACTATCTAGTCCCTCAGAACATTTCCGGATTGAAACCAAATCCTGTGAATCGATTATCCAGAGATGCTAATCAATTATTACATCTCTGAACTTTGAAGTCCCGAAGTTGTTCAATTCTTGTTTGCATTTCCTAAGCTTGGATACAAGGCTGAAATTATTCCCTGAATTTCAACAAAGAATAAAGCCTTTTCTTTCATAAAAAAAAGCATAATCACTTTTGAAACAAAGGAACAAAATCAGAAACAAAGTCATTGAATGAATAGTGCTGTTTTGGCATTTTATTCACAAAAGTCTAAAGCTTGATTCCCCTTTGTTTTCTCCCCTATATGCACGAAATTCTCCATCAATAAACCCAAGGAAGATCAGCCCAAAATCAGGAGAAGCATCAGAGGCAAATCTCTTAACCATTCAGACATCTGAACCATTAAGAGGCTGAAACAAACAGTCTGAACCATTAAGTGCTGAACTGTTCAGACATCTGAACCATTAAGAGGCTGAAACAAACAGCCCCTAGCTCTCATGATAGAGTCATTTTCAGACTCTAATGTCTTCCGAGAGGGTGTATGAAATTCAACGCAATCACACCTTCACTCGATGCATCCTTTGTGAGCCAGTCGACAAAACAATTAAGGTCATGGAGGGTATAATTATAGTCACGCTTAGATCTCTCGCAATATATTAGTTGCATCTTATTATATTAAGAATGCTACATTGTCCTCATTGTTTCAAGTCACTATTGAGCCAATTAATCGCTTGTTAAAAATCGCTAAGCAAATTAAATTTTTTATTTATCGTGTTCCCAAACCCATTTAATCCCAACGTAGAACTTATTTAATTAAGGAGTAATAGTTATAGAACTTATTCATATCAAATAGTAAATATTAAATCAGACAAATACTCCATCCAAAGCAGATTACATTTTTTGCTTAACGAACTAAAACACTACGGAGTATTTTTAAAAATTATTTTATTTAAAAAAATCGGTGCAAGAATAAAAAATCAAAACTTAGATATTTTCTTCGTCCTAAAGCATTCTTCCCGTTCTAGTGTACGAGGTTTGATTAAAAATATTTTCAATTTTATTTATTTAATTAAAGGAGAAAAGTTAAAAATTAAAAACTATATCATCTAAAACTCTACAAAACAAAATGTGACATGACTATATTATTTTATTAAATGACTAACAAATATGGATATAAAGAAAGGTAACACGAAATGAAAAGTTTTTTTGGAGGATAAGACTACTTTTTAATACGGAGTATTTATCACCGAGTACTATACATGGATGATGGATTTGAGAAAGTAATGTTTAGAAAGAAAAAATGGGCGCTTTTAGCGGCTTTAAAATGCAGCTGCGCCGAGGTGAAAGGGTGAAAACGGAAAGGAAGGAAGATTAAACCAAACCTGCGTGCGGAAAGGGTAAATGTCTCTGTCTGGTTAAAGGTTGAAAATTTATCCACACGCTACACTAAAATCGGCCGCCGCGTTTGTTTTCTTTCCATAACGGCCGCGTGCCATGTTCTCCCTCCATTCCTAATTATCTGTCTTTTAAGGTTAATTCACGTTTTTTAAGACTATATTGATTTTTTAGTGTAAATCCTAATATGCCCTTAATTAATTCGAAAGCATGCATGCCCATACTAATTTAATATTCCTACTGCACGGTATTCCTACTAACAAAGCATTATTAATATTGCATTTATTTTCATACTAGTTGTCCACTTCCGATAGAAAATTAAAACTCTAATCCAAATCTTCTTCTCCTTCTCCCATGGTGGTTTAGATTCTCAAGGAAATTATCTTTAGTTTTTGATTCATGCTCCCAAGGAAATTACATTTACTCCGTACTTAAAACTTGAGTTGTACTCCTAAAATACAAAGGGGTAAATAGTCATTTCATTACACATTATTGCATTGGATCTTGTAATAAACAGTTATTTGTGGACAAATAAAATTTCCATAATAGACAGATAATTAGGAATGGAGGGAGTACTACTTTACGGTCGATCTCTACCGTCTAAAAATCTTCCAAATACTCTTCAGAAAATAACGGACGTACAATGCCTTTCTTTTATTTTTCCTTTTCTTTGCATTTAAAAAAATACTTCCTTCGTTCCTTAAAGTTGTTTTCTTTGGTCCCGTTTGGCACACGAAATTCAAACTATGGAATTAGAATTGAGGGCATATAGAAGCAAAATCCAAAGCTGCAGCATGAGTTCTCGTAGAATCCATTTCTCACTTCCAAAACCTATAAACATGAGGAATCATAAATCAAAGTTAAAAGATATGGTTACTATTAATAGGAAGACATATAAATAAATTAACACTTGTAAAAATGCTAATAGGTCATGTGGTATACTATACAAAATTAGACCTGTATACTGTGGGCTATAAGATTCCATGAGGTCAATTCTTACTCTTATTTTCATTTCTCTTTAATATTATTATCTTAATCTCCCCCTAAATAAAATTCACTTATAACATTCACACATTAAATGATTAAAAGGGGGTAGTAGTAGTTGCAGGACTGTAAAAAAAAGTAGTAGGAGTAATCTTCGTCCTTTCAGCTTCAATTACACAAAATATCAGCCCTCTTTGTTTAACTAAAAGCTAGACGCGGAATAATAGATGCAGATATGAAAGACGAAAGAATTGTAAAGCAACACAAAGAAAGAGTGCAGATATGAATCCCGCAATGATTGATTAAAAGGCTAAGGTGCAGTAGGGCTTTAGCTTAGTTGAGAATGATCAGATGATATTTTTTCCTCAAAATTCTTGAAATAGGAAGCTAATCAGATTGGATTTATATTTCTGAAGAGTGAAAAACAAAGGCATAAGAAGCGGTTGTTTTGGTGCTGCCTGCTCTTCACAATTTAAATACAATAGTTTTAAGAAAAGGTCATAAAGAAGAAGATAATACCTGATGGGTTAGGCGGAGTTGCTCGATAGATGCACCATGACTGGTGAACGGGCGCAAACTTGTCAAAATGCGTCCAAAATTGAATCTGGAATGTTTCTTCTTCGTACTGGCTCATTCGTACACAATGGGTTTGGCTAATTCTGAGAGTCAACCGATGGGTTCCGGAAGCTGCTCACCAGAATCGATGCCTGACGGGCCGGTTTCTTGAACTTCTCCGGTCGCATAGGGGAACAGGCGCCGGTTAAAGCATATGAAACGGCGTTTTTGGGTGGCGTCTGATTTTCAAGGCCGAATGTGAAACGCTCTTGTAAACAATAAATCCACCTCAATGGCATGTCACCTCCATCTCACCTTCCACGTGTCACCCTCACAACGAAATAACCCTACTTTAATTTTATTTTTTGAATGTATACTTGGTTACCAAACTATATGAATACTCTAAGGCATAATGTGTAGTGAGTAGAAATAATCATTTTTTAAGTCTCTTATGTCATTTCTTTGAATTGTGGATTTCAGATAGATAATAGTGTTTTAGGGTACATTTTTAAAAGCATTCTTTTTTTAATAAAGAAAGGTAAAAGGATAGAGGAGTTAACGATCCACCCGATGTTTGTTAAGGGAAAAACCCGAAGTCTGTTAGAGGAAAGGGGAAAAAAAAAGTAAAAGGAAAAAAATTTGAACACTATAACGAAGTCCTTGGTTTGAACGACATTGGAACATGACAGAGGATGCTAAAATATGTAACCCTTTTATTCCTTGATAGAGTAAAGTTTCAGAGATTATAGTGAAAAAATAAATTCAAAACAACTACCATTTGAATTGCTGATGGTATAATCCAAATTTCAAATAATATCATAAAAATTCAGAAAGTGTATTTTGAAATAATGGTAAGGGTGAAAAGTATTTTCAACATAGTCTTTAAGAAATCTTGATAGTATTTAGAACCACAACAAAAAACAAGAAAGTAAAACGCAATTGCCTTAACTCAAAACACAAGCTAGAGTCTGACCTAAACATTAAAAACCAACGGATTGTACCCGCAAACCTAACGCAAATTTGATTGTCAAACACTAAAGTTAAAAGTCAACCTAGAACCTAACCCAAAACCAAACCAAAAATCAGGTCCAATCCCCAAAGTAAGAAACAAAATCCCTACCCAGAACCTAACCCAACAACCAATTGCAGGGGTGCATTAAGCTATTCCCATGTTTAAAAATGGTGAATAAGTACAAAAAAATGAATATGACATTAACAGGGTTTAAGAATGAAGACCAACCATTGTCTGTGGCGTTTGACAGGGTAAATATAGCCGGTTTAGTGGAATCTGAATGTCACATGGCCTTAAGCACCTATTTGTCATAGTGTGGTTTTGATTAGAGTGCAGCAGTTCATATTAAGACAATTCTTTTTTGGGAGATATCCGACAAAAAGAGGGAAATCATTACCGGTACATGGTGAAATTTCCATTTTGTTGATCGGTGGAGGCGTTGAAATTTCCTTTTTGTTGAAAGTACCGCCAAGCTCCAGCCAATAGAGAAGACTCGGCATGAACCCTGTCATCAAATAGGACATGAAAGAGGTTAATAAATAGGAAAATCTCTTACCAAGGTGAATATTGTCAAATTGACTCTCCAGCCAAGTATATATGTAATATTTTTCGTTATTGTGTTGTGTTTAAATTTTAACGTGGTGGAACTCATCTACTAAAAAATAAATTTTCTACTACGTTTCTTGACCTTTTGGCTAAGATCATCAAAAAGGTGAGACTGTTCCACAATTAAATGTTTTAGTCTACAAATACATTATATATAAATCAACCACGATAACAATTATAAACAGAATTTCAAACCTAGATGGTAAGAGAGAGAACTTGGCCCGAACAGAGGGTAGACCACATCATGCACAATCCAGTATCGCTGCCCAAGCAAGCCCGTCACTGCCCAAGCCTGCCCGAATCTGTCATCATTGTTGCTCGATCTCATCCTCACTGTCCATGGTCAAAATTCACTGCCCGAACCTCACCTTCATGGCCCAGAGGTCGCCGGAGTTGCTGGGTGACCACGGTTGTCAGTTCGCCGGATAATTACCGGCTAACCGCCGCCACTGGATGCTGGCTGTTTCTCTGCCGGAGCTGCTGGACTTTGCCGGAACAGAGGTCTCTGGACAAGGGGTTGCCGCTTTTTTGGGAGATATTTGACAAAAAGAGGAAAACCAATACCGGTACAAGGTAAAATTTCCATTTTGTTGATTGGTGGAGGCGTTGAAATTTCCATTTTGTTGAAAGTACCGCCAAGCTCCAGCCAATAAAGAAGACTCGGCATGAACCCTCTCATCAAATAGGACATGAAAGAGGTTAATAAATAGGAAAATCTCTTACCAAGGTAAATATTGTCAAATTGACTCTCCAGCCAAGTATATATGTAATATTTTTCGTTATTGTGTTGTGTTTAAATTTTAACGTGGTGGAACTCATCTACTAAAAAATAAATTTTCTACTACGTTTCTTGACCTTTTGGCTAAGATCATCAAAAACGTCTAATTGATCCTAGTGAGACTGTTCCACAATAAAATGTTTTAGTCTACAAATACATTATATGTATATATAATGTTTTTGGTCTTGGGTGATTGATTTGTTTTGTTCAAAGTTTGACATGGCGGATGTGAGCGATGAAGGTAGTGGTTATATAACAGCATCGAGAAGCTCGAGCCTAAATATTCGTCTTAG